TCTCAACATCGATTTTTTTCATTATTACAATACTTTCTGAATCAAGTAAAAGTATACCTAAGGGGTTGGGTATTCAACTAAAAGTTATTACTACATGCGCTATTCTCAAAATCTTATCAAGAACATATCATTAGTAAAGAGAATGAATGAGATTTTACTCCTCCAATCATATCACAAAATAACAAGACTCCTACATACTTATAAATAATGAAATTGCAACATCCTCGCTGCCATATACGTTCGTAGTATCAGCAAGATTGTTTACAAATTGTAGCAGATTGCTGTTGCAGTATGGGTTATCGCAAAAAGATTATTTAATTTAAAATGATGATGTACCAATTATCTGTAACCTTTTCATTTGACTTTCTGACTTCTGACATTTTCGTAATAGTACTAACGGATAAAAAGGCAAACGGCAAACTTATAAAAGTGGGCTATGTGTTGCAAAAGCATCTCAATTAGAACATGTTTTCAAGGTAAGTGCTTTCAATAATTATTTTAGAAATTAGAAGATTTTAGGGTAATCTACCCGAGTTTTGGTTATACCGAAAATGAATCATATCGAAATAATACAAGTGTTTCATCTAAATGTATATTGAACATTAATGGACATTAACGTTTCTGTTAATACATGTTTATCAAAAAAATTCAGTTAGAACAAAACTACATTGAACGCAACTTATCACAAACTCTGTATTAGCCTTCGATGAAACCACCATCCCTAGAATACTGAACTCCGTATCATTACTTTTTCTTTCCAATACTTGGATACGCTTGAGAATACATGCGTTTTACTTTCACCCATTCTAATACTTCGTATAAAGAAAGTGTGTTGATGCTGCATGATACCGGTGCTACACGATGTCACAGACTCTCGACTTAGTCGTCCATTTCCTTTGAGTTGGATTTACCATTTCGATTTTGACTCACCTGCTTCTGCTTCTGACGCCGACATGATTTACATGGCCTAGGTTACTTCAGCTTGCCTGGGACTAATTTCCAAACGCTCCTTTGTGCAACCCGAACATTGCGTCATTAAGCCCTGTACTTGGCGCGACAGCCCGTAAACGGGCTCACACCTATCGGCGACGTCCCTGCCTCGCGGTACGTGTGGTTAGCATGTGGTCATCCCCACGCCGTATTCCGGTCTTCACAACCTGAGAAGTGAATTTTCTCATCGTCACACAGCAATGTGTAAAGGGATGTTGCAAGGAGAATGCATATTATAATCTTGCCTGACCGGGAATCGAACCCGCAGCCGCCTAGTGGAAAGCGAGCACGCTGACCACTAGGTCAGCTGGGTAAGAGCTAGCTCCGAGCTTGTACCATTGTTCTGAGAACAGGGAACCAGATCAATCTCTGTCTCTGTCTCTCTCTCTCTCTCTCTCTCTCTCTCTCTCTCTCTCTCTTTCTCTCTCTCTCTCTCTTTCTCCCTCTCTCTTTCTCTCTCTCTCTCTCTTTCTCTCTCTCTCTCTCACTCTCTCTCACTCTCTCACTCACTCACACACACACACAAATTAAACATAGACTTGACACATCAGTCACAATCACACACCAGTACCAGATGAGATACATAAGGCACTGGGAATGCCCTCAACCCACAAACCGAATCGACTCTAATTATATTGAACTTTTGAGGACTAACGTTTTTGGTTTCACTATATTCGCTGAGGTCAAAATTAAATAGATTTTTCTCCCCAATGATTAATTTTATTAATATAGATAAGAAGCAAAATACATTAACAGCACGAATTAAAATTTTCAATAACTTAGTTTGAGCTTAAATAGTCAATTATTTTCAATTGTTTGGTGCGTACATTTTTTATTACTTAATTTCTCTAGATCCTAGTCCAGACTTCGTGCTCTCTCTATTCTTGACTCTGCATTGTCCATTATCTCTAAGGGTCCACATCGTATGTGCACTGACCATTCTACTCTTCGAAGATCCTTTTACTCGCCGGATTGGAACCCATCTCCATTCCGTGCGGCGCGGCAGGTGTGTCTAGGCTGTGCAATCGAGCGTTTCCTGTCGCCTACGTAGAGCACCACGCGCTTTGTCGCACTGAATCTCAAATAACAGAAAGTTTGAAACCGAAGCAAGCAGTAGCGCGACGCCGCCGCCAGTTGCAGTCCACGCAGGACACGGACTTTGTTTCCACAGAGAAATTGAGCGGCATAAGGTTTTTATTTCGCTTTTTTATTTCGTTTAACAGCAAGGTTTTTATTTCGTGTCCGGTATCTCCATCACAAGGGAGACTTCTTCGATGATCTTTGGTTAACATTCTTTCCAAGCAGCCCAATGTTGGAATTTGTGGCAATGAGGTGACATTTTTTCCAGGAAGGAATTAATTACCAAGTCGTTCCATTTCCTATGTTCACTATAGCCGAAGTTGAGAGTTCGCTATAACCGAATATTTTTGGTGCTTATTTGTAATGTAAGTGATACGCGACCAGTGCCTTACGTTCACTATAGCCGAAGTCGACTGTATATAGATATCTTAACCCTCAGTCTTAGTGTTATCAGGGCTCCAACCCACTCATCATCAGGGCGGCGTCTTTCCCGTTCTATTTTTAATGGTTAGGTTGAATAAAAAATATAATACAAGCTAATACTACGAATAATTGTCCAGTTATCCTATTCAAATACCTCATAATCAAATGGCTTGAAACACCTCTCCATATTCATTAACTAGTACCTTCTGTGGCTCAAAATGTTTTTTATACAATAATAATTTCTATAAACATAAAATATTTTATATGTTTGTTGAAATTCGTGTGTAGAAGATTTTTGGCCAGTTTTCGCGCTTTTTCCCCAGTGTGCGACGTTGCTTAGCAGCGTGGCAGCTTACGAAACGGTTAATTAAATTCCAATTAATGTACGCTGCTCGCTAGACACGACATTCACTGAAAAGAAACTCGTGAATGACACAAACTTTCACTTATTAGCAGTTCCCTTTCTATTTCTTTTAATCTCAGCAAGCTATTCGAACGTGCCATATACTTTTGCCTGCTGCCATTTATGGACGCCCAAAATACATTTTGTTGAAATTTTATTAATTTTTCAGTTTCCTAGAAGAAGAAGAAGAATATTATTTTAAAAATATTAATGAAAGGTCCTCGTCCGAAATGGCAATTTTCTTTCACAAATTTGGAGCCGTTTTTAAGAAAATGGCTATTAAACCATACTGTAAATTTGAAATTTAAAGCGGTTTTTCACAGAAAATTTTTGAGTTTTCGAAAAACGTTATCAAAAGTCATTTAACACACATTCACTGACAAATACAATACTGTTTACAAATTGCTGGAAATGTGCATATTAACGGCGTGAGAGATCTTCCAAAACAATTACATTTGTACAATTTTAGAAAAAACACAAAAATACCACGCGAACACCGGAACTTTACGTCATATTAAACAGTGCAATTAGTAATATCCTTTCGAAAAGTTTGAAGAAAAATGAATTTTGGGCTGTTTTTGAGAAAATTGCGTTTAAGCGTTTCCGAAAATGCGGAATTTTGAGCTAGTTTTCACAGAACGTTGTTGAGTTTTCGAGAAACTTTAATCGACATTATTTTAAGAATAAATTCTCATCAATATAACAATGTGAACAAATCGCCGCTAATGTAAACATTAATGACGTCCAGACTTTATCAGTTGACACGCCCGAAATCACCAATCGATCAATCCTGAAGCAGAGTGTTCGAACACAGGTGGCGCAGCGTGGTGTGGATGGTGTGTGCGCTGCTGGCAGCGGCGGCGGTGCGGGGCGCGAGAGGTGCGCGCGGGCGCAGGCGCCACGCGCTCGCCTGTGTCAGCAGGCAGGTCAACGCCACGCGCCCCACTGGGAGGCGCGCTGCGCCTGAGCGGGCGGCAGGGCGGGCGGGCGGCCGCCCGGAGCACAGCCGCGGAGCCCTCCAGTTGGCGCTGCGGGCCGTCACCAACGCACGCCTCCTAGCTCACCCTGCAGGTAACACCTGCCCAAATTATTACCCTCAAACTTTGTTTCATTGAAATTGAATTGATGCCTAATCTTACGTGCGAGACTCGGCCACAGCCCGCTCTCTCTTGACCACGCAATTGCTACGCTCCTTTTCAACAACTTTGAGAGAAAGGAGGTACTTTTGTGGTGATATGATTTACCCAGAGCGGTCATTTAGGCTTGAGGATTTTTTACATGCCATATATGCTACTAAATGGACATGCCAGCTTTACTTCCCCTCCCAAGGAAGGCGTACGAGGATTTTTTTCCGCTTAACCCCGGCTTTTGTATTTGAACCCGCCAACTTGGTAAACAATCCAATACGCTAACCGGAACGCGAATCTAGAAATATCTCTCCAATAAATGGACATATTTCTCCATTAATTTCTCCAGTCGCTACACACTAGATCGCGCGTTAAATCACGAAAAACACGTTTATTGAAATTTCTTAGGAATTTTCGTTTCCGAATTCGTATCAATTTCATATTCTAGACGCATCGAAGACACCTCGTATGTCTCAATTGTGGGGACGGGAAGTATCTAACCGTGAGTAGGGAACCGCACACACGCACTATCACGCTCGGTATTTACTCAAATACTTATAGGACTAGTACAATTGGCCGGAGTGCTGGGGGGGGGGGGGGGGCGGGGAGGGACAAGTCGCGTGTAAAACTGTTTTAAAATGATTAGTTTCCGAAACTCAAAATTACACGGTCTTCGGTAACTTCCTCGACCTTTCGAACTGACGTTGAAGGATTGGGACCTAAGATTACCTTTCCTCAAAATAAAGAAACTTCCTATAAATATAATTTTTTATTAAACATATTTTATGTAAAATTGTAAATTCATAAATAAATAAACGTTTCTGACGAAATATTTCTGCATTTTTTTAAAAAAATTAGAATAATTTTCCCCTTATGCGATCATTTAGTAGCCATGTGCCCTTGATTTTTAGGCATTTACATGTAATTTTCTTAAGAAAATTTAAAAATCTCATTACCCGGAACCTGTAATAACTAGAAGGGTGTTGTCGCGCGGCCGCAACCCGCCGCGCCGCCGCCCGCGGGTACGAGGAGGCGCGGAGGGCGGGGCTGCACAAGCGTACGCGCGCCCACGACGAAGGCAGCTGCGGCGCGCGCGTTTGCGAGCAGAGGCGCGCATCTGCTTCGTCCTCAACTCCGACGCCGAGGCGGCCGCCGTTTCAAGGCCTTGTGGCACGCGACGCCGGGCTCACAACTACCTGCTCGTCGGCTGCCCACTCCAAGACGCGCCGGGACGCTACGTCACCCGTCTTTGGTACGTGCGTAGTGGTCGTTCAAAATTATGCATCCAGGGACGCGCACCGACGCTAGCGTCACCGTTCTTGGTACGTGCGTAGGGGTCGTTCATACATTACGCAACGCAAATACGCACTCCAAGAACGCGCCGCCTACGCACCTTCGTTGTACGGCCGTAGTGGTCGTTCATAAATTACGCGACTCCAAGACGCACCCGACGTACAACACCTCATTTGTACGTTGCGTAGTGTCGTTCATAAATTACGCACTCCAAGGACGCGCCCGACGCTACTCACCGTCTTTTTACGTGCGTAGGGGTCGTTCATAAATTACGCAACTCTAAAGTACGCACTCAAGGACGCGCCCGGACGCTACGTCACCGTCTTTCTGTACGGCGTAGGGGTCGTTCATAAATACGCACTCCAAGACGCACCCGGACGCTACCACACTCTTTTGTACGTGCCGTAGTGGTCGTTTCATAAATTACGCATACAAGACGCACCCGGACGCTACCACACCGTCTTTTGTACGTGCGTAGGTGATGGGTCGTTATAAATTACGCCTCCAAGAAACGCGCCCGGACGCTACTTTCACCCGTCTTTTGTACGGCTGAGGGTCGGTTCATAAATTACCCACGTCCAAGAACGGCCACCCGGACGCTTACGTCACCGTCTTTTGTACGTGCGTAGGCGCGTTCAAAATTATCCACTCAAGAACGCGCCCGGACGCTACCGTCACCGTCTTTGGTACTGGTAGGTCGTTCATAATACGCACCAAGAACGCACCCGACGCTACGTACCGTCTTTGTACGTGCGTAAGAGCGTCGGTTCAGTTAAAATTACGCACTCCAAGGACGCGTCCCGACGCTACGTCACCGTCTTTTGTACGTGCGTAGGGGTCGTTCATAAATTACGCAACGCTAAAGACGGGAGAGGTTGTTTGAGGTAGCGATACGCTGCGTTACTTGGGGGTAGGGGTGTTAGTTTAGTGTCACGTAACATTTTTTTTTTAATTTTGCGACATCTGGTGACAAAAATTACTTTTTTGTCTTATAACAATTAATATATTAATTACTTAAAAACAAATAATTTAAAGTTATTGTATAATTTGTAACAATAAATGGAAGTATTTTTTTTTCATCCTTTTTTTTACAGAATCTGTAGAATTACGAAAAAAATAAAAATTGATCTATCGTACGTACTAGAATCCAATTAAAATGGTGCGGTAGATTGTCGCTCGTGCGTCATCAACTACAAGTGCATGACTTGTAAGAAGTGTTCATGTCTGTTCGTCATTCTTTCACATAGCACTTGTTCCCAATGTTACTGTTACCTGTAATAAGAATCGCCAATAAATTGGCTTATTATATACCTCCACAGTCTATGGTAAGTATACAAATACAAAACTAGTGGTGCTAAAACAAACACGTACTTTCTCGCCCGTAATTTCACGCAAAATTACGAGAAAAGTATTCTAATTTTCTAAAAATTCTTCATGACCTTATTTCAAAAATCTACCTTTAAGGAACAGATTTCATTTTGAAAAAATATCTATCTTCATATTGTAGTAGTAGAAAGAAGTCGAAAAAATTTTGAACTTTTGCAATTTTTGAAAATTACGAATTTTAATGAACGTGAGACCTGCACCAATCTCTTAAACGTCTTTCCCACTATCCAACATCAAAATTTAATAAAAACGATGAAGCCATATTTTATTTGGAAAATGTCCCAGGGGACTTTGTGTAAAGGACCCTCCCTCAAATTAAAATATCGGGGTCAAACTCGAGGGCCATGTCATTAGCTAGATCGATAGGGGAATATAAAATTTCGAGAAAATTGTCTGAACCGTTTAGCCGCTAGCATTGTTTCTCAGACGTACACAGAGACGCTTTGCCGTCGTGCGATTTTTCGGTATCAAGGACCCACACAACTGGATTCTGGCTATACCACGTGTTAGAGAATTGTTTTCTAAATTTAGCAACTGGATTGATCCACTTATTCGTTACCAGGGCTCTGTAATAAAGAGTTTTTCTGACGAAAATTCGCCGTTTTTCTCTGAGCATAACATAACTTTCTCTCTAGTTCCCCCTAGCGGGAAAGTAATTGTCTTTAGTAATTTGTAAAGTATTCCTTGACGTTTTCTTCTTGAGATCACCAAAAAGAGGAAACTTTCTTGCAAACCTTGTACAGAGATTGTTGCCATCCCTATCTCTAAGTAGATGGACTGTGCAGGAAAACTTCAACGTCAACGAGTTTACTTAACGTTGAATGCCTTAATATTTGTGCCAAGCCGACTCCATTTCCTGAAATGCAGAGGCACTGCCACGATTTCTTTCTGTGGAGAGGGTTAAGTGTGAAATCCACCCGACTTGATATTTTCTTATGATTTTTTCGTTATACTGAATTTAAACTTAATTAACATTTGTTAACTTATTATTGTTTACAACGTATGCAATTCAGATATATATATACATATATATATAATATATCGCCTTGCTATAAAAAGTTAATAAAAAATGATTTGTGATTACGTGACTTCAGCTACTCCCGGGCTGACTCATCTCCTAGGCACGCCATTGCTGTTTTGTGCGTTATTTACTTTAATTCCAAAGTGTGCTCTTGTAAGGCGTTATAAATTTGACGTTGATTTGGATGTCTATTAATATTTTGTGTTTAAGACTTTGGTGAAAAGTCGTCTCCTATCGCCAGACTACTTTGCATGTTGGGGGGGGGGGAGGATTGATCGACTCATATTTTTTACACAAAATAGAAATGCGAGTATTTTGATTATTTAAGTAAAGTTTTTCGAAATGCCCTTTGTGACATCAAAGAATAGCGCGTTTTCAAAAGAGAAATTCGTAATTATCTCTATAAAGGGGGAAAATCGTCAAAAGGCGGTAGTTTCTTTCTTCGCGACCTCGCATTGTACGACACGTCAAAACTGCTAGAACATTGACATTTAGACGTGTGTTTGCCAGCTTAAACATGGAATAACTAAAGTGTGTTTGTGGTGTTGCAGGTCAACCTTTAGCCGAAGCCGGATATGCGCGCTGGCAACCAAACAAGCCCGATAGCCCTGACGTTGAAAGATGCGGGAGCATGGCACCAAACGCTCTGCTGAACGACATCCAATGCACAAATCCCATGTCCTTCATATGCGAATACGAGTATTAATCTACTGCCTACCAGTAGTCAATTACTTATTGTAACGAAACAATGCAGTGTAACACACAGTTATTAAATAATTATGAGCTTTTTTTCTCTAAAAAACACACTTGTACTACATAATATGTAATAAAGTAAATATTATTTAATTCGTGTTCTGCGGTGGTGGCTTTTCAACAGAGAAGACTTAAAAAGTCATCCTCACATATTTTCTTCTATGTACAAGGAGCGTTCAAAACGAAACGAGCCGGGGGCAGGTAGAATTTTTAGAAACTAGTACCTGTATGTGAGAGTATCCTGGCTGTTGAGGTATGTGGTTGCGTAGGCTTCCGCGGCCGGAGTTTATGTTGTCTAGGCTATCCGGAACGAGCCGCGTCAATGTCATGGTGACTAACGTTTCGGCCAGCGTATTGTGGCCTTCTTCAGAGCGTACTGCTGTTGAGGTGTGTGTCCTTCTGCGACACAAAACGGTGAATGCCTGTCTCGTATGTCGTAAAACTCCCGGGGGTGAACGAGTTTCGCACGTTCGTATTGCTTGACGTCGCCATCCGAGATAAACAGACCTTTTAGAACAAAGTACTGCGAAACATGGTAAATGCTCAATGGTACATTAGAAATAGGGATCTACATCGTGAACTTGGAATTCCCTTGGGTCAAGTGAAATTAGAAGATTTTCTGCCAAATACGAAATACGATTGCATGAACGTGTTAACTTAGAAGCCATTCAACGTTTGCATAACCATAACCAACTGAGAATGTTAAAGAGGACCAAGCCCTTTGAATTAGTTTAATAGTCTCAACAAATGAAATGTGATATTGTACATTAAATCCATTCTTCACTATTGAGTGAACATGTAAACATTATTTTAACTTTGATTTAAGAATATATGTAAATTGATGGTTGGTCATTTGTGACCAGTTTCAATCTTTGTCGCCTTGGCATAGTAAAAAAAATCAGAGATGAATCGTTTGCCCCTCAGATCTCCTCTTAGGGGACCAAATACAGCTTAATCGCAAAGAGAGAGGTCTGAACTCTATGGAGGGTGACCGAGAACATCCCACTTGAATTTCTGAAAGAGTGCCGTGTTTGAGTTAGCCGTTTGAGACCCGTGGTTATGCTTAATTTATTAATATAGAGATAAAGCAAAATACATGAACAGCAGGAACTAAAAATTTCAATAGCTTTTTTTGTTCTTAAAAAAAACAAAACATTATTCTGAATTGTTCGTGCTCTCTCCATACTTGATTCTGCGTTGTCCACTGTCCCGAAGTATTTTAATGCAGTCTTGACTCCTTACAATGCCTCTTCTACTGTTTGAACACCGAAGGCCCTCTTTCTCGCCTAATAACATACGAGATACTTTCGGTAGCGGCGTGGCCCAAGCGGGTAATGAAACCCAGCGGCGCCGGGGGTGCAGTCAGGCCGTGTGGGGTTCGAGCAGTCGCGCGCTTCCTGCCGCCTATGTAGAACCCAACGCGTAATATAACACCAAGCATGAAACAAAAGCAAGCAATCGCACGTCACAGCCGTTAGTAATAGCCCACGTAGGACACGGCCTTTGTTTCCGCAGTGAAACTGAGTATAAGGTCATTGGCAAGGTCCCCGTTCCGCCACTATTTCAGGGAATGTGTTCCGAATACGACCATTAGCCAACGATATTTTTTCCAAGCTGCCTAGTGTTGGAATTTGTGGCACTTAGGCGACATATTCTTTTCCAGGAGGGAATTAATTTCTAGGGCGTTTTCTTTCCTACGTTCACTATAGCCGAGGTTGGTTTCACTTCATCCGAATCAACTTATTCTTTTTTGCAATCTAAGTGAAACTCGGGACCAGTGTCTTAAGTTCACTATAACTGAGGGTTCACTGTATCCGAGTTCACTATAACCAAAGTCGACTGAAATAGGCCATTTGATTTAGAATTTCTTAGAAGCGGGAGGGGGGTGCAAGCTTGACGACCAGCTGGCACCCCCAATTTTGCATGACGTTTTTTAATAGTTTGTAATTGAGTACATTTTAAATTCATTTTGGTACAAAATGATAATGCTAGTTGATTAAAACTTTCTGAGGAGTAGGGGTGCCAACTTGACGGAGGAGCCATTTTTGAAGCGTTCTTTGCTCTATCCAAGAAAATAGTAAAATAAAATAAAAAAAATCAAAACATCCTTTTCAAATTCGCAGGGGCCGTGAATTTCGTCCAGACCGATGCAACAATGTAAATTATCCGAACGGTTTAGGCACTTGCGCTGACAGACGTTTTTCCGGAAACAGATTTTTCGGTAGTAAGAACTTATAAAACGAGAAGTCTGATTACATAACATATTCGAGGAAGTAACTTACTACAATCATCGATGATATTTATCCATTTCTTGATATGTTCCAACATCCAATGAGTTCTTGTTGAAAAAAACGCCATTCTTGCCGCATTTCAACGTTTTCTCATTACGACGAGAAAGTAAAAATACTTGAGAAAGAAATATTATGAAGTTGCTCCTGAACTGATGGGCAGATATACGGGTACGGCGCGGGCCCACATGCTCATATCTAAAGAAGACCAATAAATACATTGTCCGCCCCTGCATGCTCTACTGCTCCAACTGATTAATATACAGATCTTACTGTTCCGTCATTCTTATTTACGCGATTTCGGAATGGAAATTAGAAGTTCGGGCGGAGCAAATATTGATCCGAACCAAATGCTCATATTCCACCTTATACGTTCTCAGCAGATACTACGTTTTCTATTACTGATTTTAAGCTGTTGGATTGTATTACTGAGGGCCTTGTATTACTGAGGAACGCATCACCATATATGGCGTGCGTTCCTGAAACAGTGCCCAGCTTCTCCAGCCTTATTGTCCGAATCCCAGGTCACCACAGCTCGCAGATGACCTGCCAAATCTATGAGTACAACAGTGCTTTAAGGCAGGGAAATGCACACTACTTACCAGTGATAAAAAGGCTGTGATGAAAATGGACAATTTAAAAAGTGACTATGAATTAATATAGTTTTTAGTCATTTACTAGTAAAAGTGTGTTATATGTAAATAAAAATGTTGAATGGCAATGCCTAAAAATGCCCCCCTCTAATTGTAGATCTGCACACACCGATAATATTTTAGCAATATTGCTATTTGGAAGTTCTTACCTAACCATATGAAATGTTAATTAACTAGCTGAGGTATCTGATATTTCTCAGGTATTTGTTTATAACAATTGTCCTTTAAACAGGAAAAAGTATTCCAGAAGGGATAAAATATGAAAAAGGTGTTGTAACCTACATACGTTTATTCTTTTCCAAACAACAATAATGAAACAAAGCTTTCCTCAAAATATTATTCATTACATGTTTTACAATTAAATTTTTCCATCAGAAAGGAGTAACCAATAATTTTCATGAATTATGGACATAAAACTATTTTAATAGTTTATGATAACAAAGTATGCTATATACCTTGTTTATTTAATTTGTTCATACAAACATTCATACATATGTACATGTACTCGTTCACAAAAGAACAATGTATCACAGTCATTTATAAGACAATGGCATCCATAACCCTTCCTTCTTACCCATTCATCACTTCAAAACATGAACCGTTGTAATGACTTCTAATCGTTATCTGTACAAGAGCAACTTCTCTTCCTGTTTATTTCATTCATTTCCGGATTCAAGATTCATTAAAAACAGATTTCAAGGTAGTTAAAAAAAAATATAATCTAATTGGATAACACACATTCCTTCAGAAACACATTTTCACTTCTCATGGTCCCCAAATTTCAACACCAAGCGGAACAGTACTTGTTTTCTTTTGTTAAAAAGAAGGGAAACACATACTCTGAAATTCCTGAACAATATTTTGGAACATGAAAATAAAATAATTTACGCCAGACATGTAGACAATAGCATTTCAGTAAAAATATACATTATTAAAAGATTATCATTATTGAAATTTTTATTTTATACTTAACTTGAATCTTCTCATTTTTATATTTTTGTGATTCATCTTCTCATTTTTATCGTACAAAATGAAGATGGATCTTGTTTCTGTATACTAAGAAGACCATAACATTAAAACTCAAAATGTCACTCATTAGTTTCAAATTCACTCATAAAATTTTAAAAATACAAGAGTATAAACTGAAATGCTTTATGCAAACATGTGGGAATTCTTTTAAATGACAAAAATGTATTTGAGAAACAATTGCACAGACAAAATAACTGAGGTTAAAATCAAGGAATATTAATTCTGAAAATTAACCATTCATGTAAAGTATCTCTATTAAATGCCTTAATATCTCGAATTTTACCATTGTTGTGTTAATTTCTTTCCTTATTTTGGAACTACATACGACCAATAATAATTAAATATTATTTTTTTTATCTCTCCCCATCAAAAGGTTTCGTTCAAGGAAGCATCTGCACACCTGATGACATCAAGACGTTCCAAACAAAATGTCACCCCCCCACCAAAAAAACAACAGGGAGGCAAGGAATACAAAGTACGCTATCTCGACCCTTTTAAACAGAAGGTTGCTCTTTACACATTCAAAGCACTTGCACGTGTCAGATTCGAATACTTAAGACGGAAGCACAACCCACCCATCGTCCATGCTCCCGCCACCCGCACCCCCATCCCTGCCGCCCCTGTTGCCTCCTGACATGGGGCGATGGTTTCCACCAGCTCCACCGCTCGAGGTCGGGGCCTGGCGCTGCCCTCTCAGCAGCTCCAACTGCCGCTGCAGGTTGTGTTTCAGGGCAAGCAGACTGTCCTGCAAGGAAAAAACACACTGTTGTCACCAGTGCCGGCGCTAGGTAAGGGCAGACAGGGCGATCGCCTGGGACCCGCAAGTCAAGGCGCCTGATGTTGGGACAAAAGGGGAAAAATGGAAAAGAAATTAGAACTCAAGAAAATCGTTATCGCAACTTTATAAGTTACGATGCAGTAGTCTGTTTCTGAAAATGTTCCATTAATTTTTTACCTAGAAAAGTTAAATACAGTAAATACTTCACTATAATAGGATAGTGCGACTCAACGAAATCAAAAACATCAGACAATTTGAATGTTTTACAAAACAATGCTGCCATTGAATGCATTTTCAGTCTTCAAATTTTCTCCTCGTAACATCTAAGATTCTTTAATACACATTTTTGTAAAATTATATATGTAAACGGATATTAGCCATATATTTTTATTGAAGTGTAGGTCTGAATAAAACTATAAGTTAAAATATATTTTCAATTTTTTGCGTCATAATATTAGCGGGAATTTTTAATGCAGCCAGATACCAAAATTATCACCTTGTTACAAGTCATTGAAACAGATATATGGTCATTGAAACATATATCATTAGGGCCCGGATATTTATGACCTAAAATGTTAGAAATATACAAGCATTTATGACCTAAAAACATTTTTGGTTGTTTTTTCGAAACCTTCAAAATCTTTCCGCAGTTTAAATAACCATTATATTGAAAATACGCTTTTAAAATCTAGAAATCTCCAAAATTCATTCTCACAATTCTCACAATTCACACCTTGTCTTTGGCGCCCTGTGAAGACAAATTCTAGTTGCTAATATTATTAAATAAATGTTATAGAAGTTTTGTCAGGTTTTGTGTCAAGGTCAACACCTTGGCACAGAACCTGACAAAATAATCTCATAATGATTATGAGATTGTTTATATTCAGATCAAAATATGAGTTATTCAAACTGTTCTGTCCTTCCGCTAGACAGCCCGATACGGGCCTTGGCCGTGCAGCGGTGGCCCAGTCTCTCGGCCATGAGATAAGGGGTTAGTGTGGTTAGCACGAAGACATCCCTTCGCCTTATATACTGATCTTCTTAATCTTTGGGGTGGGCTTTCTCACCGTCACACAGCAATTGATACGGGGACATTTGTAAGGAAAGCGCGGATTGATACGGGGACATTTGTAAAGGAAAGTTATAATTTTGCCCCGGCCGGGCATTGTACTGGATTGTGCCGTGCTAACCAACGAGGGCATATTATTTAAACTAGTGAAGTTTATAGCCGAATCCTTTTACTTGTCCGGATATTTATTTACCATATTCATCTATTCAGACAGGAAAAGGAATGTATTTTGTCTATAGTGTATCCTCTGGGGGGCAAAATCGAAAAGCTAGCATGGAATGAAGAGATTAGGGACCTAATTATTTCGAGAAAGTCTGTGCAATTTTGTAGCACCATTCGTTATAATTTTATAGACCCGCAAGTGTAGTGCTTGTTTTCCTCGGAAGATGGCGGTGATCTTCCCCACATGGATGGCGAGATCCGGCGCCGACCAGCCGTCGGCTAGCGGGGTTTTTCTCACCGGATATCTCCCATTAGCAGGGCACCGACAGGAGAAGCTATGAGCTCCTGACCGGTCTCCTGGCATGTGTAGTAGTGTACTGCATGTAAATGTAAGTGGGTTTAAGGGGTGAGAATAGGATAAGGAAGAGAAAGGTGAGATCGCGCGTGGTCCGTGGCCCGTTTGTTAGAGTACTGCTCCGGCAGTCGTCTGTTAATCAGAGAAACCACGGAAAACTAACGATCAGAGCAGCTGGCCTCTAGAATTCTTAACCAGAACGCGACTGAATTCAACCTAGCTGCCATGTTAGTGTCGAAAATCCTGCCACCATCGGGACCCGAACCTAAGAACCTCCCGGTCAGTGCCATCAGTTGATGCCCTGAGCCACCTTGGCCGGTGCCAGCCTGGAAGAGGCATCCACGAGCCTTCCGCCGCCGTCGCACGACGCACCTTTTCCGCCTCCAGCTTGTGCAGCTCTTCTTGATGCCTCTCTGTGTCCTGCTGGTCCAACTGCGAGAGGCCCTCCTCAATGTTGAGGCGCTCTGCGAGTTTCCCCATGTAGCGTGACAGGTAGGCGATCTCCGTCTGGACCTTCAGGAACTCCTGGGCCAACTACAAGCACAGATTGGAGGCGTTAGCATTTTACCCATGCAGGAAATTGTTCAATTTTAAAACAGAGTGTTAAGAGATATCCATTATATAATCAATTTTCTTTTATAACAAGATTGCGTGAATTAAAACACCAAAATGTAAGAAAGTCCTCATGAAAATCATTTATTACATTAAAAAAAATATTGCAAAATTCGAGCAATATTAAAATTATTAAAATATTCGAAACAATTCTTAACAAAACTACTTCATAGCTTACCATACAGAAACATTTAAAATTGCATACGAATTATCTGAAGCATCATGCTGAGGAAGGAATTGACATCTATTGACTTAAGGTCACGTGTACGAGTACTCAATAGAAATCACAGGCAGAATTAAGAAATTTTACCTAACTTCCCACTAACAAATATACAATTCTGATATACATGAAAATTATGTCGCTTTATAAGTACGTGTTTTGCATATTTTGAAAACTTTATTCACTTTAATTTATTATTATTATTATTATTATTATTATTATTATTATTATTATATTTGCTTAGGAGATATTTTTCTCTTCAAAATATTTGGTTCTGTTCACTAAAACTACTGAAAGGAAGTAACTCAAATTTGAGAAGATTTCAAAGTACATCATTATCTAGACTAGACTTTAATGAAATAAGTTTTAAGTCTTTTATTTGCAGCTTCAAAGTAGTGGAACTGTTAGTGACCTACTTTAAAAAAATATTTTATGCAAAAAACGTAAATAATACTGGTTAGTTTTCTGAACAACACAATCCTACTATATATCGCATACGCCGCCTAGTTGATGTTTTCTGAACAGTTAGAACAAGAGCGCAATAATTCGCTGCAGTATCTCATGTGCAACTTAAACAAACTTCAGAGGTAGCCCCAAAGGAGACCGTATTCTTAAGTTTTATTAAGAATTTTTGTGAATTTAGGTCACAACAGAGGATCCAGTGATCTTGGCGATGCCACTAACTTCGCGCAAAACTTCGGGGGGCTGGGGACCGGTATCGGCTACCTTAGTGTGGGAATTGTATGGTGTAGTACGAAAGAGGGTGAGCAGTATGGTGATCGTTAGGCATAGAAATATATTTCAAGAAATTGTCCCGAAGAAGGCTGAACACCCACCCCGAAACAGCGATTTCAAGAACTGAGTTTGTGACAAACTGAAGATAATTCTCAAAAGAATTTAACAAACGCCGCTAACAAAGTTATTACGCTATTTTTTCCGCCAATGAGAGCAGTGTCCACTGACCTGTTTATGTTGTTCAAATATGCGCACGCTCTCCTGACACGAGGTGTCAGGGGACACAGGGTGAAGTTGTGGATCCAGAACAAGATACACATTGTCCAGCTCCTCTTGTGCCGTCCCACTGCTGCTGCTGCCTGCGCACACAAGAGTACCGTCTTAGCATTCGCATCGAGAAATTGTCAACTAAAGAGGGGCGCATTCAACTGGAAAGCAGCACCGTAGACACTAAGTAAATAAAAGTTCAGATAGGTCCTTGGGAAAGCCTCGGCAAAAAATTTCCATTGAGAGTGTATGGTATATTCACAACTCCTTGGCAATATAAACACTCCCTGGCAGTATTTGAAAGTTTGACGATCACATACTTATTATATACTATTTACTATTCAATGTATTTATGTATTACATATTAAACTATAAAATATGATTTAATTCAATAACTTAACAGCTTTTGCACAAATAGGAATTACATTATGATAACCATAAGGTACCTGTATAATGATTTCTAAAACGTATAATTGAATTATATTTCTCAATAAAATAAGTCAAAGTAGTGCCTTTGGTGCTTAAAAATTCGAAAATTACAAGCAATAGTTCAATGAATTATATTTTTTAAAAAATAAAATATATGTCTTCCAATATTGTGTGTATGCTAGATAACACATGTCTTAACATTTTTTTCTTCTAAAAACAGTTGTTTTCAACGAAAAAGCCGCCTCGGTGGGTGAAAGGTTAGCTAACTGGCCTCTGAACCCCCAGTGCGCGGGTTCGATCCCGACCTAGGTGCGTAGAGTTTCGAACAGAGTTGTCATACCACTCTTGTGGCATGTAAAAGAACCCTAGCGGATGCCCGGCAAAATTAAGTTCCTCCCACATATCGTCCCAACGAGATCTCGCTTTCTCCCTACCAGACAGTGCAGATACTAAGACTGAGACCGACATCTGGCGGAGAAAGGGAGAGTGAAATCCCAGGCGCATTTACGGGACCGCCCGCGAGGCGCGCCTGCTCGAGAAGGTCCCCAGCCACGCGTCGGAAGTAGGGTTCCAAGGAAGTCAGTGTCGAAAACAAATGGGTGCGGAACACTGCCTAAGGGCAGTCTCTCTCCGTTAACAATGCCGTACGCTAAAAAATTCTACAAAAGACAATCCAAGACACAAAGCAGTGCTTATACCGAAGACTTCCCACTCCACGTACCAAAACACATGAAATAAAGTATTTTATCTACCACCGGGAGTAAAACTCAACTTCATGCTGTATTTGAGAGAAAGTGAAGTATCTCTTTTCCGCACGTGACCGTAAAGGAACACTGTTGATTACCTCACGAATTGTTTTCTACTTCATCTACTGCTAATTAATGTGCGGTTTTCACCCCTGACTTTGTGATATTTTTGCTTTCATCTACAATAATAAACTTCTTAAATGGAATATGGATAAGTGGTAAATGAATCTCCTACACACCATTCTTGTGAAATTAAACATTCAAATGATGATGTCACCCGAACCAACAAAACACCAATCTTCATAGATATTCCATGTATTATAAATGTAGAGGATTTTCGAAGTAGAAAGTCCTTAATTTACTAGGAAGACAACTCAAGCAGTGTGCTCCATGAAATTTTCACGAGCTGTGAAAGAATCGTAAGCCTAAATGACGACTATGAACAAAATCAGAATAGTACTTTCCTGCCTCCACTCAGGATGATATCAGCTTTGTGGATGCGACCAAATTAACCACACAAATAATCACTCGTCTGTTATCACACAACCTGGATTTACAAAACATGCGGAACGAAATTGACCTCAGATCTCCACGAAACGGCACCAGGGGCTCTCCCAATCCAATCATACATATTAGAAATAATATTTTACATATCAATACTAATGAAAGTCATTTAATATGTCAATTGTTAATGGAATTTTTAACTATAAGTCAACAAATAAAATACATTTTAAATTCAGAATTATCCTTTACCAGATAACATCAGATCGGCTGTACAACTGATACACCCTGAGAAAAAAAATGCTGGGTCTGCATCGGCTGACCACGATAATTAAAGTATAATTTAACAAAATTCAATTTCGGGATAAACTGGAGAACATCCGAAAACCCTGCCGCGAACACGCTTTTGACCACCACCATGTATCTAAAATATTTTTAGCCCTCAATAACGACAAGGAAAGCTAGATCGCTGGCCACTACATTGCCCTCCTAAGCCACAAAGGCGTAAATCACTTTTTTACTATTTTTCTTGGCTGTGTTTGAGAGTTATCAGAAATTATTCTCAGGCAAAAAGACCGTATCTTATTTCCAAAGAGCCACAAATCACTAAATAAAAATAAGACATTTTTTGTGCCTTAAACCGGGAGAGATGGCTCAGTGCATCAACTGAAGGCACTACGGTCCCTCTGACCGGGAGATTTTAGGTTCGACTTCCGATGGTGGCAGAATTTTCGACACTAGTTTGTCAGCTAGGTCGAATTCAATCGCTGTCAGGAGGAGAATTCTAACGGCCGGTTGATCTGATCGGTAAGTTTTCCGTGGCTTCTCCGATCAACACGAGGCAAATGTCGGTATCGCAGTATCGCAACAAACGGACCATGGACCGCGCGCGATCTTATCTTCCTCTTCCTTGTCCTATCCTCACCCCTTCCACTTACAAGCACTACACTACAACACATGCCGGGAGACCGGTCGGGAGCTTAGAGCTTGTTCCGGCTGGTGCGGTGACCCTGGAGATGGTGGGAGATACCTGGTTGTGGAAAATCGCGCTAGTTGACGGTAGGTCGGCGCAGGATGTCGCCATACAGCGGGGAAAGACCATCGCCACCGCACAAGCAAAAACATGCACTACACTTACGGGGTTAATGACCTTAGTAGTTGGCGTGCCCGGAATCACAAACAATCAATCAACCGTGCATTAAATAAATGCACTTTTACTAACAAGTACATAGCCAAAAGTTTCAGTTTTTTGAAATTTGCTCTTAAGGCTTAGAAGTGGAGTGCACAGCGGATCGGCACAATTAAGATAACCGATTTATAATGTGATTTTAGAACAAACCCCCTTCTCCTTTTCCTGCCCCCAAAAAAAGAAAAAACGTACAGTCATCCACCACCATCTTTCACGCATTTGTACAGCGTGTAAGATCGTTGATCCGTGTACGATGGACAAATTGTCACGATTGCATTGCTTGATTCCATAGCTCATTTGGTTACAGCATCCGCCAGGATAACAACAGAAGGGCCCGGACTGGAATTCCGGCGAACACAAATATTTGCACCGAGTGACAATCCATTTTCAAAAACAACTACAGCCGAGTGTCGCGTATTACGGCAAGTCTACCCCTCGCCCGGCGTCGGCGGCGGGTGGGT